TGACAGGGGACACAGGTGGCGTTGTGGTCTAAACCACTGTGCTCTGGTTTCCATCACTGTGTTCCATTGCACGAGTAGCTGTTTAGTCATGCTGGCCACATGACCTGGAAAGCTGTCTGTGGACAAACACTGACTTCCTCGGCCTGAAAAGCAAGATGAGCACTGCACCCCATAGTTGCCTTTAACTGGACTTAACCGTCCAGGGTCCTTTACGTTTTTTACCTTTACAGGTGACATACAGTGGTACCTCTGGTTACGTACTTAATTCGTTCCAGAGGTTCGTTCTTAACCTGAAACTGTTCTTAACCTGAAGCACTACTTTAGCTAATGGAACCTCCTGCTACTGCTGCACCGTCCCTGCACGATTTCTGTTCTCATCCTGAAGCAAAGTTCTTAACCCGAGGTACTATTTCTGGGTTAGAGGAGTCTGTAACCTGAAGCGTATGTAAACTGAAGCGTATGTAACCCGAGGTACCACTGTATAAGAATGAAGACTATTTGTAAGCCCTCCACCCCAGTTCCTCCTCTTTATCTGATCAGGAGCTCCTCCAATGCCCATTAGGAAGTCTTGAGCTGTTGAGGCAACTCATTTTCAATGGCAGTCTGCCTTTTGCCATTTGTTCCTGCTGCTGCAGCAGCCCGGCCACCTCTAAGTACCTCAGGAGTGCCAGTTGTCTGACCATGTGTCATCATCAGCTTTGACTCTGGCAAGGGATTGGTGGAGCAGTGTGTGAGTTTGTGTGTGGTTCTTTTGCAGGCTCTCTGGTGCCTTTGCAGCTGATCTCCTTTGCAGAAGCCTTGCAGCAGCTGGAGGGAGTGCAAAGGAAGTGCAAAGACCCACATTAAAGAACCTTTACAGAGTTAAGAGAACAAAAACAGGCAGAAACACTGAACCAAGGGTGCTGCTGGCTCCTTTCCTAGGGAAATGATTTGAAAGACTCCTCTGTAGTTTTTGCACAGTTCCTGCACAGTGGCTTGACAGTTCCTGACAGTTCACTGAAATGCAGTACTCACACACAGTCCTGAATTTAAGTAGCATTTTTAATCTGTCGTAAGCAACGATAAAACCCTCCCTACTGTTGTCACTGAGTGCACTTTGCGGAGTGCATAACTCGGTGTGTTAAATTGGTTAGCATTGCTGAGTGTGGTAAAATGTGGAGGGTAAGCCAGATTTTAATCTTCAGGCTAAAAGAACAGTGTGGAACTGTGGCCTTTCTTTTTTTGCAATAAAGTATTGGCTAATGTGCTCCGTTTCAACAGTATTACAGCTTGGCAGACCAATAACATTCAGTTTTAAGTGCATGGATTTCTGTGGGATTCCAAAACAGAGAGATCCAAAGGGTAGAATTTGGTACTGAGTGTGTTCATCGGAACAGAGAGAATGCCAGGGTTTTGGCTAAAAAAAGTAAGAAACTGTGCTGCATGTATGGTCTGTGTGTTCTTTGAGCCCTTCCCTCCATCAGCAGGTGTCACCATTCTCTTTTTCCACACTTTTCCCCTGCCTTGTTTTGATTTGCGTTCTGGAATCAAATTACTACAAACATAAAAGAAACTTCCCACCAATCTCAACATTGGCAGGAAAATACACTAATACACAACTTTCTAACACTAAAATAAGGGCCCACAGCATATAGAAAAACTAAATAATTTGGGTGGTAGCCAATGTTAGCCCTACTTAGAGTAGACCCATGGAAATTAATGATGCAACTTTTTTTGTATCCAGAGAGCTATCCTAAGACTTCCTCCATGTTATCTAGTACCCATCTGGTTTTATATAGAATAACAAAATCTTTATATCCTTACAGTGCACATTCTAAAAGTACTTACAGATAGGACTTGTGTAACCCTAAAAGCATTTACCTCTTCTGTGCAGTCTCTTTCTCTAACGGGGCCCTCCCTTTATGCACAAATACAGAGTTTATGCTTCCATTTCATGAATGTCCTAAAACTTGGGTAGTTGTTCTTACCCACACATTCACAGCAGATATGTTAAACGATAGGTGCCATCTATTATTTTACAATGTTAAAGGCAAATAAAAGGTTTGGGAAGCCATATGACACCTGTGTGCTTTGGGGAAGGCACCACAACTCACTGGTAGGACACCTGTTTTGCATGCACAAGGTTCCCAGGTTCAGTCCCTGGGATCTCCTGTTAAAGGAGTCAGGGGTCAGGTGACCTTAGACTGGTAACCCGTTGCCAGTAATATGAGACAACACTGGCCTACAGAACACATAATCTGACCTGGTCTAAGGCATATTCTGGGTCCTTTATTAAGTAGGGTCTTCAGGTTCAGCTATCCATATACTTTATTTAGTCCCCTTCTTAAGAAGCTTTCAAAATATTTCATCAAATATACAGCTTCCCTCCTTGTTGATTTCCTTTTATTCCCTTTTATTAATTTTATGCAAACATATTTGCAAAGTGTCATAATTTCTTGCTACGAAACCATTGACTGTCATGATGCTAAAACTCTGGCTGAGGCCGTTTTCTGCTCTCCTATTGGAGGCTTGTCAGGTTCCTCCACTGCTGCCTTTTTAGCAGTGCAAAATCCAGAGCCTTTTGTTTGGGGCTTTGGATGACAGGAAAGAATGTGCAGTTCATTAGTGCTGGTCATTTACTTCCAACCACTTTTGTATTGGGGTTGGACACTTAATCCGTGTTTGCACAGCAGTCTTTTCTGTTCTGTGCCCTGAATTGGCTGAGGATCTCTTGACGGATGTAGTCTTCTGGTTGGTACTATTTCAGGGCACACAAGAGGTTTAAAATGCTGAAATGCCACCTCAAGCTTTACACTGTTTCCTCCCCTTTGGCGGTCATGGTTCCTTCCCCCTTCTCTCCCCCTTGCAACTTCTTCCTGTGATTCACGTCTCCTCCCCATCACTTGCAGAGATGTGCATGCATCTCCAAAACCTGGCTTTTGCTAGTTGAATGTAAACAAGGCGAAAGTCTGGCTTGGGCAAGCTGTGGCTGTTGCATGTCTCGCTGCTAAGAGACTTGATCACAAGGGTGGGGAACCCTTTTCCACCTAAGGGACATATTCTTTCTGGGGCAACCGTGGGTACTATGTTCCAGGGATGGGCAGGATTAGAAGCAAAAGTGGGCAGCTCTTTCCATAGGCTGTACATACAGTCCTCTCAGTAGGCTCTCGTTCTAGGGCTGGAGATATGAGATACAAGCTGATACTGAGCTAGACGCTGCAGTGGAGTGACTGATGCAAAAGGGGCGGGGGAACAGCCCCAGGGCTCCCTCCTCTGGGAAATGAGAAGCTTTTCTAAGTAGGAACCAATCTGGCCCACACAGCTGATGGCCAGATGTCAAGATGCTGATAGCAGCTTTTGGGATGGCAAAGAAATAGGGGGTGGACCAATCTGGCCTTTGCACTTGTCCATGCGTGAAAATTGCACACACCTCTACAGCGTTTACAAGCCATCCGGAAGCTTGATCCATGGGGAGGTAGTGCTGGGCTCGGCATTTAGTTTCTGTATCCCTTGAGCTTCAGAGAAAAGCAAAAGCCTTCTAGGTGTTTGGGTGGCTAGGTTTTCCCAAGGTGACATTGGGAATGCTAGTTCTGTGGAACAACTTGTGTTCACAGCAGCACAGGCAGAGTCCTGACTTGTAGGTGAATGTGGGACGGGCTAAGCTGTGGCAGGTTTTGCAATCCTGACCGACAGCCAGAAGCGTGGTTAGGTTGGGGAGGGGGATTAGTCACTTGGCATGCATATGAATTTGTCTTGTTTTGAGTCTCGTCAGTGGTCCATCTTGCTGCAGTGGTTCTTCACAGGGTCTCTGGTAGAGGCCTTTGTACCTGTGGTATGTGGGATCATTTAACCAGAGATGCCAAGAATAGAACCTGGGACTTTTGGGATGCAGAGCTTGCATTATGTTTCAGGCAGCTGTTTGTCTGTTCTAGTGTTTATTAAGAACAGGAAGGTGCACAGGAAGAGACTTCTGTTCAACAAGGCACTCCCCCCTTTCTTGTATGACAGCGAAGTCAATTGTGCTGATTTCATGGCCAATGCAGATGCCAGCTGATGTCATGCTTTGGCACAGGAGCTGCCAGGAACAGTCCAGCATGGACCTTTCTAGTTAAAAGGGTCAGGTAGCAGATGATGGGTAACATCCCTGCCTGAGATCGAGGAGAGCTGCTGCCAGTCAGAGCTGATCATATTGGGCTAGATGGGCCAAAGGCGTGACTTGGAATAAGGCAGTTTCCTATGTTTCTATGTTCCAGGTTTGGGGAGCAATGCAGCAGCAGCACTGTGGTGCAAGGATGCTACAGGGCCTGGAATGGCAATGCATTTCACAGTCTTACAGAGGCTGTGTGTACATGCGCACGTGTGCATGTGCAGCCAAAGTGAAGCTTAGAATCTCCAGGTAGAGAAGTTCAAATGCAGATGCCTTAATTGTATGTCAACGTATATCTTTCTGTAAAAAGGTCAAAACCCTTGACCATTAGGTCCAGTCGTGGCCGACTCTGGGGTTGCGGCGCTCATCTCGCTTTCTTGGCCGAGGGAGCCGGCGTACAGCTTCCAGGTCATGTGGCCAGCATGACTAAGCCGCTTCTGGCGAACCAGAGCAGCACACGGAAACGCCACTTACCTTCCCGCCGGAGTGGTACCTATTTATCTACTTGCACTTTGACGTGCTTTTGAACTGCTAGGTTGGCAGGAGCAGGAACCGAGCAACGGGAGCTCACCCCGTTGCAGGGATTCGAACTGCCGACCTTCTGATCAGCAAGTCCTAGGCTCTGTGGTTTAACCCACAGCGCCACCCGCGTCCCTATCTTTCTGTAGGCAAACTTAATAAGAGCTGGTATAGAGCAATGTCTAAGGCTGGAACCCTTAGCACACTTAATTGAGTAGAGCTTATAGGAACATAGGAGTATAGGAAGCTGCCTTATATTGAACCAGATCTACTGGTCTATCTAGATTAGTATTGTCTACACTGACTGGAAGTGGCTCTCCAGGGTTTCAGGCAGAAAGTCTCTCTCAGACCTACCTGGAGATGCCAGGGTTTGGACCTGGGACCTTCTGCATACTGAGCAGATGTACTACCACTGAGCTACGACCCTTCAAGGTTCTTGTACTTCCTTCTGAGCTTAGGATTCATTTGCACGAGTGTGAGCTATGAGCCAGGAAGTCCTGGGTCCAAACACTGATTCAGCCATGAATTTATTCATGATCTTCGACAAACCGTTCTCTTAGCTTCAGCTGCCCCATCTTTGCAATAGGGGAAATATTCTTTACAGGTTTGCCGTAAGCATTACTGAGATAACGTATATGAAACATTCAGAACACCCCTCAAAAAACTATGCAAATAGTAAGTATTGTCAACAGCACCTAATATTAAAGCTGAGATGAGGGTTGTGCATGGGTTTTAAACAGAAAGGAAACGCCTGGTCCTTAGCATCCGGCCCAATAACCTTTCCCTTGAACCTTTGTCACAATTCTCTGCTTTGGCATGCCAGCACTTGAGCTCTGCTTGGCATCTGTCCGCTCCACCTGCTAGAGACGGCGTTTTGTGCTGTGCTCAATGAGTTCAACAGCTGTTTTACCAGGCAGCTGGAGCAGAATTAGTAGCATGACTGAGTAGTTAAGCTTTGGAGCTCCCATGCTGGATACTGGAGTTGCTGTGGCCTCATGTCACCTCTCCACCGACTAGTTCACACAATAAACAGCACCTCCTGTGCATCCAATTTTCTTCCACCCCCTAAAACAGGGATGGGAAGCCTCTGGCCTTTTAGATGTTGTTGGGCTTCATCAGCTCCAGCCAGCACGGCTGGCTAGTGGTCAGGGATGATGGGAGTTGCGGTCCAGTGACATGTGGAGCTTCCCCCCCTCTGCTTTAAAACCACATGCAGCCATGCTTCCAGCCACTGGTGTTTTCTGTGTAAGCTACTCTTGCAGTTTCCCTCTCACCCGAAAAACTAAGAGGTTGTGAATTCATGGAGCTTGTTTCCTCGCCACCTCTTTGGAGGCATTCATTTAAGATGTGCTTTTTTTTACTTTGAGGTTCCATCTCTTTTCTTTTGAAAACAGCAATGTAAAATTGTCAGGTTTGTTAAAACGCTGCTCTTTGCCCTAAAGCTTGTGCCACAATTGATTTCTAAAAGCTCTTTTTATGTTTTTCTCTTTATCAAAAATGTCTTTTAGAAAGAATTTGGAGAACGGTGGAGAGTTAAATCCATAAATGAAATCGATAATAGTAGTGGGTAGGCAAATTGCTTTAGTGAAACTTTCCCCCAGGCTCTTTGGCTTAGTTGAGCTGCCATGGCCAAACTATAGGATAATGATCGCCTGTACACAACTACCTTGTGAAAGAGGCCAGTCATTATTATTTGTGCAACCACTTTTCCTCTCTAACTCTGGCCAGGAAGGGAATCCAGAACCTGGGCAAGATAGCCCCCGTTAGCATCTTCTTGCCTATAAAGGCTGGGGCAGCCTGCTGTCCCCATCTTTCCCCTAAGGCACAAGCAGGTAGCATAACTCTGAGCAGCTTGGCAGGTAGGTAGTAAAGGATTGAAGCCTAAGGTGGCAGTCATATGTATGGACAATTACCCGGTCTTACTTCTGAGTTGACGTGTGTAGGATTGTACTAAATAAAAAAATTGTCCAGTAGCACATCAGAGACCAACTACTGTATGTATGTTCTGGGTATATGCACACGAAAGCTTATACCCAGAACATACTTAAAAAGGTAAAGGTACCCCTGCCCGTACGGGCCAGTCATGTCCGACTCTGGGATTGCGCGCCCATCTCGCTTAAGAGGCCGGGGGCCAGCGCTGTCCGAAGACACTTCTGGGTCACGTGGCCAGCGTGACAAGCTGCATCTGGCGAGCCAGCGCAGCGCACGGAAACGCCGTTTACCTTCCCGCTAGTAAGCGGTCCCTATTTATCTGCTTGCACCCGGGGGTGCTTTCGAACTGCTAGGTTGGCAGGCGCTGGGACCGAGCAACGGGAGCGCACCCCGCCTCGGGGATTCGAACCGCCGACCTGACGATCGGCAAGTCCTAGGCGCTGAGGTTTTACCCACAGCGCCACCCGTGTCCCTAGAACATACTTAGTTGGTCTCTAAGGTGGCACTGTGGGTTAAACCACAGAGCCTAGGACTTGCCGATCAGAAGGTCGGTGGTTCGAATCCTTCAATGGGGTGAGCTGCTCCTGCCAACCTAGCAGTTCGAAAGCATGTCAAAGTGCAAGTAGATAAATAGGTACCACGGCATTTCTGTGTGCTGCTCTGGCTCTCCAGAAGCGGCTTAGTCATGCTGGCCACATGACCCGGAAGCTGTACGCCAGCTCCCTCGGCCAATAAAGCGAAATGAGCGCTGCAACCCCAGAGTCAGTCACGACAGGACCTAATGGTCAGGGGTCCCTTTACCTTTACCTTTAAGGTGCTACTGGACAATTTTTTAAATTTATTTCGTCTGCGTCAGACCAACACGGCTACCTACCTGAATCTAGGATTGTACTGTCAAAGAAACACACTGTGCCTGCAAATTTCTCTTTGAGCTTGCCCCCGCCTACCTGAATGAAAGTAGCTGTTTATATTTCTATTTTCGCTTTAATTGAATACTTGGGTCCACTTCAGCTGCCATGATTGGAGTATCTTTGCCAGGCTGGAGAGATGCATGTTCCCAAATGCCATTTGGTTCAATTGATAACCCTTATCCACAATGGTTGTCCCTTGCTCTGGACTATCACGGCACCAAAGAGCATGATAAATGGCACTCACTATATGACAATATAGTGGAACAGTTTCCCTCAGGAGGCTGCGGACTCTTCTTCCTTGGAGGTTTTAAAGCAGCGGTTGGATGGCCATCTGTCATGGATGCTTTAGCTGAGATTCCTGCATTGCAGGCGATTGGACTAGATAACCCCTGGGTCCCTTCCAACTCTAAGATTCTATGATTCTAAGACACTTTGTCTTTTGTGGCACACACCACTGCGATATGCAGAACAAGGCAGCCTTAACTGGCCTCTTATCCATCCCTGCAGTTAATTGACATTTTGCAATTTTCAGACACCATTTGGGTATGTATCTCTCCTGTAAGGCACGGATATTTGTGCAATGAAATGAAGCACTTTAAAAATATTATCAGAATGTGCTCTTATTCGTTAGTGAAGCTTGGAACTGTTTGCAGCTTTTCTAAGGCTTGCATTAACTGGCATTTTTTTGTTTTAGTTTTAGGGCTTGTGCAAAGTTTCATTTAGCACCTATGCCCACCACGTTTGTTTATGTAAACCACAAATATTATAAGCAACGCTGTATACAAGAGGCAGTTTCAGTCCTAACCGCAGCTTATCTGTATCTTACTGTATGACATAGAATCTTTATTGCTTAAAGAGTAAAGAAGATGAGAACCCACCACTGATGCACACTGGAAAATTGTAGCTGTCTAAAGTTTTATCATATGTGTTTCAATGGGGGGGACGGGACAGAAAAGTAATTTTAAAAAATGTCCTAAATGAATAGTTCTGTCTGAAGCTGCTATTATGAAACCTTGAACCGTTCATGGTATCTCTTTGATGCTTGTTGCCACGCTTGCAAAAAAGTGAGCCTCGTTGACTCCAGGAAGACCTAGGCTAGCCCAGAAGGTGTGTGGTTGTCTCCAAAACTAACACCTCCCTGTCTCCTCTTCCTCCTGCAACAATATGTGAAGGTGATGATGACACCATGTTGTGGCTTTCCACTTCTCGAGGAGAAGCAGCAGACAAAGTGAAGTGGGCGGGGAAACTCTTGGTGCATGGAGGTCACAACATAACAAGTATCTTTGGCTGGAAGTTATATGAGGAGCTGAGCAGGAGGTAGGACCTTGCTGTTTTGAGTAGAAGCCACACATCCTATGTAACATCTAATATCAGCTAAGTATCTATTGCAGCACTAGACATTCTACCCTACATGCATTGCCAAAGAGTTGGGTAGAAATGTACAAAATATATCATTTTACAAGTATGTAGGCTCCCTAGCTCTGCAGTTGGTCTTTCCTCAGCTCAAGGGCTTTATTCTTTTCTAAACAACTTGCTGGGGGCCACAGGAGAGCCAGTGTAGTGGTAAGAGTGTTGGACTAGGACCTGGGAGAACAGGATTCAAATCCCCATTTGGCCATGAAGCTCTTGGGGTGACCTTGGGCCATTCACTCCTTGTCAGCCTAACGTGCTGCAAACGGTTCTTGTGGGGATTAAATGAGTAAGAGGAGAACCCTACATGCTGACTTGAGCTCCTTGGAGAAAAAGTAGTGTATAAATGCAATAAATAAATGACTGTGGTGGTCAAGCCAGAAGCAAATGTGGGCAGAGCAGTGAATGTTAATTTTACTGTTGTGCAGTGCACAGCATTTCCCCGCGCATATACACCCCTTTTATCCTCCATCCAGACAAGCGAGAAGCATTACTAGAGTTCAATGAGATTTTCTAGCCATGCAAAAACACCGAAGCAAAGCAGGTCTGGTGAGGAGTGTGGCTTCTGAAGGGAGTGTGGCTCAGGGAGAGTCCTGAGGTCCAGATAGAAAGGGCTGGAGGGCCACATTCAGCCCCCTGGGTGTGAGGTTTGCCATCTGTGCTCTATTGAAATCGAAGGAACTTGTTTCTGAGGAAGGATCAGTCTACAGGTTTGATTTAACGTGAAAGTATCACTGGGGAATGTTGAACCTTATAATGGTAGATCCACATCCAGGAGGACCCCAATCAGGAAAGTGAAAAAAAGAAAAGAACTGCCTCTTTAAATGTTCAGATCTTTTTCAGTGCATCTGATGCCTGGATTTCCCCTGACTTCCCCTTGCAAAGTCCTTGCTTCTGAGTAGTTATGAAAACATTGCAACTCATTGCAACTATGCCCTCCCATGTATTTCTCGGCAACATCTCATCTTTTCCCAGTAGTGTTGGAGAAAAGACCTACCCCCCTGCTCATTTTCTCTTATTCAGCTGTGGGTCCTGAAGAATAACAGGCCTATCATGCTTCCCTCCCCACCATATCTTATCAAATTCCTTAACAATATTTCCCAATCATTCAATCCAGTGCAAGTTTGCCCTGTTTCGGTTCCAGTGAAGTCGATGGGAATGAGATAGTCAT